GTAACTTAGAGATTTGAACTACTCCTAACTTTCCATCAGGTGACCCTGTTGTATGTTTAGATTTGTAACTGAATGTAGGACTAGAGACCTGGTACTTGAGATGCTGAGTCAGAGACTGTTGGGCCTGTAGTCATCCAACCTCTGAGGTGGGTGCTCTGCCTGGGGCATGTGAGCTCATGTTTGTGGGACCCCGGACAGTGCCTCTATCTGTTCAACCCTGAGACTCTGCCCTGTGCATACTGTCCCTGAGATTCAGGAGGTTGGGGCCAGTCCTGAGGGGGGAATGGGGATGTATCCAGCTCTGTGCCTTCATTGGGGACCTTGTTAACTTCACTGGGGACCTTGTTAGGTGGGAGGGCCCAGTCAGAGCTGTGAGCCTCCTCACTGTAAGCTCTCCCTGTCCAGGGTCACATGCCTGGTTGAATGACCACCACAGTGTGTGCTGCAACCTCCCCCATTCTCACCACAGCCTCCAGGTGAGTTCTCTGCTTAACTCTTGGTCAGTGAAGCATGACTCTCCTCTGTGTCTCTTGTGGTGCTATCTGCCTGGTCACTGCTGTATGAGAGTGTCCAGTTTTGTCACAAGCCTGGTGTTCTCTGGGTGTTCACTTATAACATTGATGATCCTCTGTGCAATGAAACAAATTTCCTTAGATACTTTCTTAGTCCCCCAAGAACTCTTTGGAAATGCACATTCTTGGGCACATCTCAATCTGCTGCATCAGGCCTGGGATAGGATTGCTGCATTTTACAGTTACAAGCCCTCCTAGAGATTATGATGCTGAGGGGTGAGAACCATAGAGTTAGAGTTTTTTATGGAAGATCCTGCTATCAGCTACACTAGTGAATGAGGGGGCATCTTTGACATTATTTCTGGACCACAAGTTGTGGTTGGAAGATCTTTCCAAAATTCAGAATTGTCACTGTTAATCCTTCAGGTCAGCTGTCTGTTCATCAAACATCCTCCCTCAGCCTGCCTGGGCCTCCCCCAGTGATGGTGTGTGTTCCCCGATATGACTGTGTCTCTCACCCTTTCTAACTCCCATGTCTGTGTTCACAGATAGCTTCCATGTGCTTGGACCCCCACACCCCATTGTGGCAGAGCTGGGCAAGGACGCCACCCTGCCCTGCTCCCTGTACCCAGTCATGAGGCAGAGAACATGGAGTTGAGGTGTTTCCGGTCCAATGTCTGGGAGCCCGTGTTCACCTATCAAGACGGACAGGAACGACATGAGGAGCTGATGACCCAGTACACTGGGCGGACCTCGCTGGTGTGGAAATTCCTCAGTAAGGGGGAAGCTGCTGTGCTCATTCACAGAGTCCAGGCTTCTGACAACCGGGCTGTACACCTGCTTCTTCAGCAATGGAGTCTTCCAAGGGCTAGCCAGCTTGGAACTGCAGGTGGCAGGTTGGTGACATGGTGATATATTTCAGAATCCTGGAGTTTTGGAATTGAGGAGAAAATAAGGGCAATGCAATTTGGTTTTTCGTTTCATTTATGAGTAAGAAAAGGCTTATTAATTCATGTTTTATTAAATGTAAATATACAGGGTACCTACTACATGTCTGGCCCTGTTCTAAAGACTTGGATACAAAAGCAAATATAATAAAGTGCTTCACTCTGTGAGTTTATATTTGTAGTGGGAGAGAGAGCAATTGTAATAAATAACCAGGACATAAATGACTTTTCGAAGTGAGAAAGGATGAAGACAGGAAGCTAAATGGAGCAGGGAGATGGGTGAGCAATGTGGGGCTGGGGCTGAGGGGAGGTTCCAGTAATAAATAGCAGCTCTGGCTGGTGCCACGGAGCAAAGACTCCAGGGAAGTGGGAACATAGCTGAGTAGATATCTGATGTGTGGGTGTTCCTTTCTCCACAGTTTATAGACAGATAATTTCTATGTATCATATGTAATGTGAGGCATACAGAATAATGACTGATTTATACATATAGTGAATTGATGGCCACAATAGGTTAAATCATATCTGTCTGCTATTAAAGGTTTAAGAAAAAGAAAGAAAAAGAAGCAAAAAGGGCAAAATTTCCTCATTGTGAAAAAAAATTCTTTGGAGTTTGTCCTTTAACAACTTCCCTACACATCACACAGCAATGCTAGCTACAGGCATGTTGTACATTACAGGGAAGGGAATTTCTACGTGGAGGCACAGCCCGTGTGAATGACTGGAGTGGAGCGTGTGTTTGGTGTGTGATCTGCTCACATGGAGTCCTCATGGCTGGTGGGAGAGAGTGAGGAGCAGGGTGTTGTGAGGTGACAATACTCTCACAAAAGATGTTGTGAGTACATGGCAGAGAGGTCAAGGGTGGCTGATTAATGCCACCAAAGGAATCATAAAAACCGTCATACGATGTAGATATTTGAGCTGGGAAGTCATTTTATCTAACAGGGTCTATAAAGCGCCTCAGACCAGATGAAGAAAGGACGATGGAGTCCACAGAGCCTGATGATTGTGGGTAATAGGAGTTAGATCTTTAGTTTGGAGTGCTGGGCCTTGAGGGCACAGGTGTAAAAGTGTGAGCACTGCAGAGAGAAGAAGATGGGGAGGAGTCACAGATGAGGAGTCCTGGTGCGCATGTTGTGGTGTTTGTATGTGGGACTGTTGGAAATTTTCAGCACAGCAGCGCTTAGCTTGATGACTCTGGCAGCAGTGGGGAAGACAAGGGCGGGGACAGTATCTGGAGTTGTGGCTGCAGTTACGGGGTGGAGAGGGGGGGCTGGTTCACATAGTGGCGGTGGTTGCACTGGAGGTGCCGTCAGTGAGGTTTAGATATAACCCAATTGAATGGGAAGAATTGGGTCACAGAATTTAAAGTGGAAGAAGGGATTGCAGAGGCTTCGAGGCTTTGTAGAATCTGTTTGATAATTAATGTCAGGAACATTAATAATGTGTATCAGTTCCCTGTCACCATAATGCTGCTGTGTAGCAAAGAGCCACAGAAAAAATCTCTCAGGGGCCTGTAGTAATGGACTTGTATTTACATGGGCTTGTGGGGAAGTCAGCTAACCTGGGATGGACTTGACTACTCTCCACTGAACTTACAGCTACCTTTTTTGGTCAGATGAAAATGTCACCAAGTGGACCTTGGCTGGGCTTGTTACATGAACGGTCACTGGCTCCTGGCTGAGGTAGGAGCTTCAGGGGGAAAGGCTGGTAACTGGCCCTGCTCTACCTGAGCTATAATGTCCTTCCATGGAGACAGCAGAGGGAAGACCCAAGGGGCCAGCACTTTAACTCCCTGCTGAGTCACATGAGCTGATCTCTCATTGGACACTTAAGTCACACAACTGAACCCAGAGTCAGAGTGTGAGTAAAATGTACATGGCAGATGGTGAGCCTGATATGAAGAAGGGTGAAGAATTAGGAACAATTTTTATTACTAATTTATCTCAGATGAGACAACAGCATGAGTTCAGGTGTAGAATTTCAGGTGGGAAGAGAATGTGGAGAATTCTGTCAGATGTAACCCAGGGGATGGGGCTATCAGGGAGGGAGGTGGGGTGGCTGGTGAGGTGATATCTGGAAGCGATGTGTGAGGAGACACAGGAGCTGAGGGAGAAGCAGCCCTGGGAGAGGGTGTGAGATAAGACGGGGCTTCAAGGACTGAACTCTGGGACTGTGCTGCCATCAAGGAGCAGGTGCAGGGAGAAAAGTCAGGAAAGGGGCTCAGCAGGGGGTCCAAGTTACAACAAGCCGCCCTCAGAGGGAAGTGACCAATCCAAGATGGAGGTGGTTTCAAGGTCAGACCAGGAGTGTCCTGACTGAAGGGAGACTAGGTGAAAGGACTGTGGAGACTAGGGTTGGCAAATGGGAGACTTTTGTTGAATCACCCAGAACAGAATGGACTAGAAGGAGAAGATGCTGGATGGAGGTTGAGATGTTGGTGAGAAATAAGATAATACAGCTGTTTATGGATTATAAGTTGTACTCTTCTAAGAAGTAAAGAATTCTATGAAGATTTGAACATGTTTATATAATTATAAAAATAATAGGTAGAAATGTAGAGGAAACATGTCAGGTCATCATCTTGCTTCCCCAGGGCTTGGGGGCTCCTGGACCTCTCATAGTGCACTTTGTCAGCCTCTCCTAGAGGTGTGCACAGGTGGGCCCTGCCCCACCTGGCTCTCACCTTACCTCAGGTGTGGGCTCTGCCCCTCAAGTGCACATCATGGGGCCAGAGGAAGACGGGGTGCCTGTGGTATGCACGACCTCAGGCTAGTTCCCAGAGCCCCAGGTACAGTGGAGAGACACCCATGGGGAGCAGTTCCTGGAGTTCTCCAAGGTCCAGGCCCAGGACACTGAGGGGCTGTTCAGAGTGGAGGCCACTCTGGTGGTGAGAGACAGCTCTGCGGGGAGTGTGACCTGCTCCATCCTCAACCCTGTCCTCCGCCAGGAGAAGGCCATGGCCATTATCATCCCAGGTCAGCGCTGCTCCCCCCTCCCTACTCCCTGCAGAGGGAGGGGCCGGCACCCTCAAGTGAGTTGTGCCTGGGTGTCCTGGGCTGTGTCCTGATGGGGTGTCTGTGGGGTTTCTGTATGCAGAGCCCTTCTTCCCCCGGGTCTCTCCCTGGAAGCCAATTTTCCTGGAGAAACTGACCTTGCTTCTGATCCTGCTCCTGGGAACTGCCCGCTACACCTGGAGAGAACATTCCACACAGATGACGGAGCTTCAGGAACAGAGGAATCTATATCAGGCTAAGGAGGTGGACAGACAGACAAAGGTGGAGGCCCTGAAGGACAAAGGTAAGGTAGGACAGGGGCCAGGCTGGTGAATGTGGTGGTGGGTGCTGAGAGGGACAAGCTGACACCACAGCCAGAGCCCAGGGCCCCTCTGCATTGAGATCAGAGCAGGTGCTGAGTCCCAGGGTGGGACAATGGAGCTTGGAGGCTCTTGTTGGTCTGAAGGTGAAACTTCTAGCACTCTGAGAGGAACAAATTTTGTTATTAAGGACAGTTTATGCTTATATTTTTCATTCTCTTTCAGATGAACTCCAGGCAATTCTAGGTAAGCTCTGCTCTCCCTCTTGAACTCTCTGTGTCCCCTTCATAGGAGACATTCTGGTTCTTTGCTCACCTGTGTCCTGTGTTGTCTTTCAGGCCAGAGGAAGGCAGCTTACCTGGCTGGTGAGTGATGCTCCACATGTCCTGGGTCCCTGTCCCTTGTGCTCAGGTGTCCCTCCCCTTGGCTGTCTAAGCACAGACATGTGGATCCTTCCATGGGGTGGAAGTGGGAGCTGGTAGGAGGGAGGACCCTGATCCATGGGGTCTCCAGATCTGGGTGCTGTTTTCCTCCTAGTATTGGGATTCTGGTGGGTGGTGACCCTTGGAGTCTCCTGCATCCTAGTCTCATTCCAGCCCTGACTTTCCCACCATGGTGCTGGCTTTCTAGTCATCAATGCATCTCATTTTTGGTCAGCACCTGGAAGTAAAGCAGCTGCTCAGGGATTTTATAAGTAAATGGACTCTTGAAGTTTAGGAGAGTGACCTCCTCCTGCCCTTTCTTCCCAGACAACCCCAAGAAAAGTCTGTTTTCTCTACTCCTGAAGATGCTGATGAGTAGTGCTGGGAGAGGATGGGGTGATCTTGCATGGGAGGGAGTGGGGGGACTTTTTATTTCTTTTTTTTTTTTTTTTTAAAGAATTATTTATTTATTTATACAGACACTGGGTACAGTCAGAATCCTGGGAGGGCGAGAGAATTCACCGGAGCTAGAGCGGGGAACAGAACAGGCAGACTGACAAAATACACTGCTGAGGGGAGCAGCAGTCAGCAGGAGAGGTCTGCACGCCATGTGGGGGCCTCGCCCAGTGGCTGGGGATGGAACCGGCGCTGCAGAGGCTGCATGCAGCTTCGCAACCCAGCACTCAACCATTGCACCACTGGAGAGGCCCTCTCAGAGAGTTTTTATCACTAGAAATACTGCACTGGAGGAAGATGGGCCATTTCTACTCTGGAGCTGGTGTGATGTCCATGTTGTATTTTTATTTCATCTTCCCATTAATTTCCAAGGAAATACTGAATGGAATAATTATGGAATAATATGTATGTTAAAAATATCTTCCCATATACTGTTTTTGATCCTGTGTAGCACACTGAGTAGCAGGTGATGCAAGAGTTTTGAAGTCTTTGAAGCCCAGGGCTGCTCAGTGACTTATCCAAAGTCCCTGGGCAGCAGCAGGCAGGACTGGGTCAGTCTGTCCTATGGGCTCCTGACCTGAGCCAGGGGATTTCCCCAACCCCTGCTGTCTACATGGGGCAGGAGGTCATGACCTCTCCAGCTGCTCCCCTCCACCCCCTAGAAAGTCTCACCTCCAGAGCAGCGGGAGACCAGGGCCCGTGGATCACAAGAGCAGTTTGTTATACTGAGGTCTTACCTATGTGTTCACTTTCAGCCTGGAGGAAGGCCCAGCTGTATGCAGGTAAGTGGCCCTGAGAGTCCTGGCACCTCCTCCCAGACTCCCCTCTGCCTCTCCTCTATCAGGGACCCCTGCCAGGAAGAACCTGGGGTCCCTGGTCTTCCTTCAGTCTGGAGCCTCCATCTGAGAACTGCAGGGACCCCCTTATGAGCACAGACCTGCCTCCACCTACCCTGTCCTCCCTGCAGGTCATGTGGGGAAAGGACACCCTCTAAACCCTTTGTCACCTGTCCTTGTGGGTGAGGAAGTGGGGGTCAGTGTGAGGAGAGGCTGCATGGAGACAAGTGTGTGGTTCAGGATTTGCTGATGTCTCGCAAATTCCATATTCCTATTTCAGAGTCAGGTCTTGCTAAGGGGTTTTGGGTTTTGGATCCTTCTGGATCCAAAATCCCAGTCCTATTTTGGATCTAGTTTTTGTTTCCTGTTTCCTCTTGATTCTCTGTCTTCACATGCATGCTCTGATTCATGTCCAAGCTGAATTTTTCTTCTAATCTCTTGTTGTTGCTGAGGAATCAGTTGTTTAGAGCAGGTGTCTGAGTCTGGTCAGAACTTCTGGGGTGTTTATGACTCTTGGGCAGGGGCCTGTGAAAAGTCTGAAATTACATGTAAAATCTTTTGTGTGTGTATTTTTCTGTGTCTTTGTAACAAGATAAACAATGTATGATTTTTCAGAACCATCATCTTTTTTTTTTTTTTTAAAGATTTATTTATTTATTTGTACAAGTACTGGGTACATTCAGAAGCATGGGAGGGTGAGAGAATTCACAAGAGCCAGAGCGGGGAGCAGAGCAGGCAGACTGACAAAGTACACTGCTGAGGGGAGCAGTGGGCACAGCCAGAGAGGTCTGTGAGTCATGTGGGATCCTCGCTGGGTGGCTGGGGATCAAACCGGTGCTGCAGAGACTGCGGGCAGCTTTGCAACCCAGCGCTCAACCACTGCGCCACTGGGGAGGCCCAGAACCATCATTTTTTTTTTTTTTAAAGATGAAGTTTGTTTCTTTTTTATTTTATATATTTGTAGCACTTGCTTTGCTCCTTGGTGACCCAAAACAAATTCTAGCTGAATATATATCTTGCAATTGAGAAGAAAAAGGTATAGGTATATATACTCTTATCTCCTCAGAGGATTTCATTAACATATCATCTTTTTTTAGGAGAATTCTGTTTGACAGTCTAATGGTTTATATTAAGTAGTATTTTTTTTTTTTAAGAAGTAACTATGTAGACTGGAAAAGAACAAACCTAAAATGGTTATAGTCCATTTCCAAAGAACAGGGGGGAAATTTGAAAGAAGAGTCTGGATGGAGATAGAGAGGAGAAGGAAGGAGAGGGGTGTGTGGGAGAAGAGCCTTCTAGAGGTTTTGGGCACAGTCACCAGTTTGAATCTGTGCTGTGCAGACATTGTGCAAGGCTTGGGAATGAAACGCAGTGGGCCTTTTGAAGTATTTCAGATAAAGTTACACTTTAAAAAACATTATTATTATTTTTTTAAAGATTTATTTATTTATTTATTCATCTATTCATTCATTTATTTATTTATACAAGCACTGGGTACAGTCAGAAGCACGGGAGGGTGAGAGAATTCACCAGAGCCAGAGCGGGGAGCAGAACAGGCAGAAGGACTGAAGTACACTGCTGAGGGGAGCAGCAGGCAGCAGGAGAGGTCTGCGCACCATGTGGGACCCTCCTCTGGTGGCCGGGGAGCAGCCGGGGATCAAACCAGCACTGCAGAGGCTGTGGGCAGCTTCGCAACCCAGCTCTCAACTGCTGCGCCACCGGGGAGGCCCTAAAAACCATTATTGAGGTGACCATCTAATTGCATTGCCTCTCACAACCCACCCCCCGTAACTTCCTGTCCTTTGTTTCCCCCTAGCCCTTAGTTAATTTCTCACCATAGTAAACATAGAAATGTTAGTTTCAGTCACATAAGTTTTTGCTAGCAATAAAATGATTGTTTAAGATAAATGACTATTCTAAGAACACTTTTGTTTAGCAACTGTGCCTTCTTCAAAATAAAGAATGTTACAACCTCTGCTGAAGGGCAAATAAACCCCTGGCTGTTCTAGAGGAAGATGTAATGATTGTTATCTTCCTGCTCTAATACATATGCTTATGCACTCTCATGGTTTGCTTCTAATGTATAAATAAAAGGCTGCTGAGACCATCAGCAGGAAGATGCCTGCACCCTGACCAAGTGTTTGCATCTCCTCAATTTCCCTTCCCTCAATTCTCTACATTTGTGCCAACTCCATCCCCGTCCCATCCTTCAGGAACCCCTGACACCCAGACTGCTGTGGCTGGCTCGCAGCAGACAGAGGGTATTCACAGACCAGGCCTACTCCACCACGGACTTGCTCAGCTTAAAAATCCACACACCTTCCTACTCCAGTAAGCCCTAGGCTATGATCAATCTCAGTTCTTCAGTGAGCACACATAGGATCCAATATCACCTGGAAAGTTTTACGGCTTGGGAGTCTGACACAGTGTCAGCCCAGCTGGAATTTCTCCTTTTAAAAATTCTCTTCAGACGGCCACCCACCCCTCCTCCTCCCCCAATTCAAACCCCACAGGGGTTTAGCCAAATTGAAAGCATTAATATCACCCAATAGATACAGGCTTTGGACACCATTCTCTGCCAATTAAATCACTGGGTACAGGAACAAAAAGCTACAATGGATATCCATCTTAAATTTGTGTTTTTTCATCATTGTTTAAATGGTGCTAAATTTCCTTATAACACTAAGGTTTTACTAAGTCTAGTAAATGCAAGTGAGGTGAGATATGTATGTGTGTTTAAAAAAATGTATTAAAGATGGATATTCTGAAGGTCCTTAAGATAAGTTAAAGTAGGATGAGTAAAATGAAATGGTATCAGAAGGGAAGAAAGCAAAAGAAAGTGTCGAAGGTCTGAGAGAGATTTTAGTGAGAAATCATATGTACTCAGGTGTCTCCACCTCCTACAACACATTCATGGACTTGCTCATCTGACCAGCAAAACCCCCTCTGACCGATGCTTCGTTAGCTGAAGCTGGGGCCAGGACATCCAAACTTGGGCCAGCTCTCCCTTACTGCCATGGATCCTGCCCCTAGTAGGCCCGGTGATCATGATCATGATTTTCTTTGTTTCTACACCCTGTTTTCTCTGTTTTATCCAGGCAAAGATCTCTGAGATGAGCCTTAGCTCTCCAAGACCTGGAAAGCCATTCCTGAGCAACAGGGTCCCTGTGGACAAGCAGTATGTATGTGAGTGCTTGGGCCCAACTCGGGTACGCATCACTGCGCCCCTGGTCCAGGTTCCACTCAGCCTACAAAGTAGAGGTCCTCTGACTCTCCCTCCTGTTTCTAATCCCATCTCTTAAAGCCACTTCCTGTTCTTCTGTCTATGCCTGCAATTCCAGATCGGCACAGCCTTGTGAAAGGTATTACCACACATAGGGCCTCTAATCAGGGGCTCCAACTCTGCACTGACATTGAAAGGGAACTCTTAAGGAAAAGGAAATTCTTAAGGAAAAGGAACTCTTTCCCTGTTCAAGAGCCATAGACAAGGAAATATAAGTACAAGACAAGTATGCTTCCTTAATAAGCATATCTAAACAAGGCCTGGCAGCCTTCTAGGCTGGTTGTTCTCCTGGGTCATTCTCAAAGATCTGCATCCTCCCCTTTTCCTGTATCAAGAATTTGTATGCTAACTAACCGATGTAATCAATGAAAATGGTTGTGTATAAAAGAAACTCTTTGTCTCTAGACCTGTGCTCAGACCTCTAGGGGCTACCCAGGTCTGGGACCTCATGCATGAGTAATAAAGCTGCTCCTGACCTCACCATTCCTGAAGTACCGCTTGTTCTTCCCTTGCCTGGGTAAGAGTCTAGAATTTATTTCTGCAACAACATCGTTTCAAAACCCTTTAGTGTTATGGCTCCGCCCACTCTTAGAGTGATATTAATGATAACCTAATTTTTTCTTTTTGCTCCTTGCCTCCTAAAATTCATACAGACTTGCATTCAGAAAATGTCTCATACAACCTTTAACCAACTCCTTCTCCACCCACATTCTCGCATCCCTGCAGAAAACCCTCATAACCAGGCCTGAGCCACCCCTTGGTCTTCGCCCCTTTCCAGCAGGAAGTAGCCAAAGAAGGAACTGTCTCCCCTTTTCTTATCAACAAAAGGCTGGAATGAAAGGTCAATGCAGGGGCCAGGAATGAGGAAGCCCACATAGAAAAAGACAAGATGACCCTGACACCAGGACCCCTGATACCATCAAACCTAAACTGAAGCCATAAACAGGAGAAAACAACTCGGCTCCCCCCAAAACAACTTTGTTTCACATAAATCTGTTTCCCCCCTGCCAACCCAGTTTTCCTGCCTAAACTCTCCTCACCCCATAAAAGGGACATCTCTCCTCACAACGGGCGCGGCTTCACTGACCCCCACCTGGCTTCATGAGGTCTGCCCGGGGCGCAATAAATTTTCCCTTTCTTTGAGAAATTTAGCCTGGCCCTCCTTTTCTTTACCGTGCCAAACCTTTCATTGATCAGGTGCAGACATCATCCTGCTGAGGGTTTCAGCAGCCTTTTATTTATACATTTCAAGCAAACCAGAAGAGTGCATAAGCATGTGCATTAGGGCAGGAAGATAACAGTCATCACATCTTTCTCAAGAACAGCCAAGGGTCTATTTGCCCTCCTGCAGAGGTCGTGACATTTATTATTTTTCGATTTAAAAAAGGCACAGTTGCTAAACAGAAGTGTTCTTAGAATAGTCATTTACTTTAAACAACCAGTCATTTTATTACCACCAAAAAGCTTATGTGACTGCAACTAACACTTCTATGTTTACCATAGTGAAGGATCAACTAAGGGCTAAGGGAAACAAAGCACAGGAAGTTACCTGGGGGAAGGAAGATGCATTGACTCTTCCTTAGCCCCAAGCTCTCAATTGAGGGAGGCATTTTCCTAATCTAACAGAAGAGTTTTTCTACCTATTACTCCTCTACTTATCTAG